TAACAAAAGCTTTTGATTCACAGCTTTAAGATCAATATGCCTACAAATTTTGAAAGATTCATGCCCTATTTGGCATGAAAGTTCAGAAATGGCAGAAACCCTAAACCCCGAATTTTTCTTGATCCAAAAACAACCAATTTTTCCACCATTTAATCCTTGAAAAAACTGAATAAAGCTGTTTACAGCCTGCAAAACAGATCACATGCCGAAAAAAACAAAAAAAATGATCAAAAAATGACAAATTTGAAAAAATCCGTGAAGAACACTGTGCAACCCGTGTTCTTCACGGACTCGCCGATTCCGCACAGTGAATCGGCGAGTCACTGTGCAGAATCGTCCGGTTCTCTCTAGAACTGGACGATTCCCGGTTTTTGAACCGATCCGGTACCATTTTCGTGAATTCCGAGTCGAACCGGGCGAGTCCGGTTAGACTCGGCGATTTTTTAAACGCTGGTTTAAACATTGGATCGCTTGTTTTATTTTAAAAAAAAATTGAACAAAAAATGATCCGATGTTTCAACTGTCGGACCGTGTTTTTCAAAAAAAAAAAGACATAATAATTACATTGTTATATTTGAAAAAAAAAAGAGACAATAGGATGTTTGAAAAATCAGATCAAGACAAACTTGACGAAAAAAAAAAAAAATTCAAGATCTGTCCCTCCAAGTAATATCGACTTATTTTCGAGTCATTCCGTTACAACTGGTAAAAAAAAAAAAAACGATACATAAATTTTCCTAATAACATTTAGAGTTTCAAGAAGTTTAGGCTCATATATTTTTTTTTTTTGTGCGAATATTGACGTACCATTTCTCAGTATTTAAGGTGGACCATGGCAAGTAAACTTCAATTACTCGAAATAATCCTAAAATACGTCTTTCACCCTTGGGAACAAATATTGAATTTGATCTGAGGAGCACGCTTCACTATTTTAGCTTTCTTGTGTAGAAAGATTTGGTTAAGAGAGAGAGAGGTTCGCGTTAAGAGACAGACTTGTGTAGAAAGACTTGGTTGAGACGGAGAAAGACCGCGCGTTAAGAGGGAGAAAGACAGCGCGTTAAGAGAGAGAAAGAGCATTGAGATTTGAGAAAGACAGAGGGATGGAGGCTTCGAAGCTTGAACATGAAGTTGCAGGAGCTCATGATGCCCTACGTTTTGGATTACCAGGCGTCAAGAGCGATATCACTATCTCTCACCCACTACAATCTATCCAAGTTTCGGTGTTCCTTTTTCTCTCTCTCCTTTGAAAGCCTTAAATTGCTTTGTTCGTTTCTGGTTCCTGATTCCCTTAACCAAATTTCATTTATCTTTCTTTCCTTCCTTTCGATAATCTTTAAATTATGTACAGCAAAAGAAGCGGAAAGAAGAATTGAAGCGCATGGTTTTGATGAACACCTATGGTTCGGCTTTGCCCTTGAAAATGGACCTGGACATGCAAATTCTTTCGAGGTAATGGAAGTTTGTGGAATTATTATGTTTCGAATGTTTTATGTTTTATTTCCTTTATTTTTTTTCAATTGATGTGCTTTGTGAACACTGGAACAAGGGATTGATCTTTGAAATCTTTTCAGTTCTCAGGGTTGGATGTTATCAATTTATGATGTGAGGTAGATTAGGGTTAGGGTTTTTGGGTACCTACTAGTGTTTTGCTAGAGTACTTTATAATGCTAGGGAAATAACCGAAGTATCTTAAGGTAAATAATGCCATATTAGGTTTCCGTGATCTGCTTTTTATTGCCAAGATTTTTTTTTTTTTTTTGGTGTTTTGTTTTGGTGGTTTATTGAGATTCACCAGGTACCACAGAAACGCTTGGCCCATTAACCTAAAAAAAAGAAGAAAAGAACTTAGACCCATTAAACTGCTTGAAGTGGTGGGCTAAACTGCTTGAAATGGTGGGCTTCCTGTTGATTACTTCATGGTAAAATTTTGGGACTTTTGTTAGATAAATTTGCAGATAATCATTAAACTAATAACAAACCATTGTTATAGGGTTGTTGAGAAGAGAAACTCATAATCTAAGCAAATTATAGTTAGCAAAAAAACATCTACTGTTATGTTGGTTAAGTGAGAATGAGAACGAAAACTATAATGTTAGTCTTTTTTATGATCATAGCTTTGATAAGCTATGATATGAATGAGGCCGGAATTTGCTTTTCCAATACAGAGTCCATGTATGGTTGCATAAGTTCGAACATTTTTGTAAAAAATTTAAGCTGGAGTTTCGAAGAAGAGTATGGCTGAGTTCTTTTTTCTTTTTTGAAACTGATTGATGCATGGCTGGCTGGCCCATGGTGCATGGATTTGGAGATTAGGCATAAAGTCTACACTACTTAGTGTAAGGGGCATGTGTTGTTTGAAGTTCACACGTGTATTGTAAATATTTTACAAGATCAATGGCTACTTTGCTTTTTGGAAGTATTTTTCCAGTAGATTTAATGGTTTTTACCATTGATCAATCACTGTGTTTTTTTTTAGAATATTCACTTGTGTTTCAGTAAAATGGAGTTTACAAAATTTGACACCTACAAGTGTTACCCTTTACAAAAACTCTAATGGGCCAGAATAAATGCTTTACAGCTCAACTGTACAATAATAGGTGAAACAAGAATAGAGAAAGGGTTATGGGTAGCATAGTGCTCAAGGGTCCGGGTTGGATTGGGTGCCGTCCTTTGCTACAAGGTCTGCTGTGGAGTTTGCTTCTCTGAAAATGTGCTTCCAGTATTATGGGTCCCCTACGGATGAGAAGTCTCTTTGAATATGTCATGGAGGTGCCACGGGTAGGAGCTAGCTTTGGAAGCCCAAGCTATAGTGTTTTTAGAATACCCTTCTGCCAAGAGATCAAGACTCTAGCTTGAGTTGAATTTGAGAAGGCCCTCCAATAGTTCAAGGGCCTCGGAAAGAGTTGAGTCCACCAATCCGATTGGGCGAGAGAAAGACAAGAGCGTTTTGCCATTGTGGGTTCTGATGTGGCCTCTTATACCAGAAGGCCCAGGGTTGCCTAGAGAGAAACCATCAAAATTAAACTTGACTATATCGGGGTCAGGCTGTCTCCATAGAGATGGCCATAAGATTCTAGGTGGGGCGAGGGATAAGAGAGCATACCAATTTCCAAAACAAGTCGAAGTGAGCAAAATATTTGAAGAGCTTATGTTTTGAAACCCAAAAGGAGATATTGTTCCTGACTTTCGCAATTAAGGAATCCATTGAAGAGAACTCGCCTCTGAAAATAAGGTTGTTTATTTCTAACCATATGACCCATAAGGTCGCAGCAACATAGGCTTTCCAGAGGTACTTGCCTGCCTTTGGCCAAGGGATGGAAAGCTGAAACACTTCTGGACAGTGTTTTAAAAAGCAGACCGCCCAACGCCTGGGTGGTCACCTAGGCGTTTTTGGGGGCCTGGGCTGATCGTCCAGGCCTAGGCACCCAAAAAAAGTGAATATCCCTAGGCGCCCAAGAACCTGCCTAGGAGGCCGTCTGAACCCGCCGTCCAGGGCCTGCACCCCGCCCAAGGGCAAAATGCCCATCAATTTTCAAGAGCAGCAACTTCCTTTGGAAGCGGAATCCAGCCCAGCCAAAAACAAAATTAGCTTAGGAGGCCACCAGGTTTTGGCCAGATTTGTGAAATTTGGTTCTTCGAGACACATAAGCTCAAACCGGAAAGGCCAAGGTCCTCAGGATAAAGCCTAGGTATCTAGGAGGATGGGACAGTGCTCTGAGTGGGTTGGGCATAGCCACATAGTGGGTTCCATGAAAAACTTGATCCCATTCCACAGAGGTCAGGAATTGATCAAGCTTAGAGAGAGATGGGTTAAGGGAGTGGTTGGACCAAGTATATTGGGCCCCTTCAAGGGGAATATCTACCAGGTGGTTTTGAAATATGAAATTTGAGAATTGGACCATGGCTGGAGAGATGGAATGGTTAACATTTCGATCATGTGCCCACCTAGTGATGTTGAAATCCCCACTGAGGCACCACACTAGGGGATCGATGGAGGTTAAGGCTTGAAGCTCCTCCCCAGAAAGCTGGTCGGAGATTATCTAGGTTGGGACCGTATACACTTCCACTTGAAACTATCTGAAATTCTAGAGAGCACCGCTGTCACCAAAAAAAAATTCAATCAATGTGTTTGATGACTAGCTAGAGTGATTTTATGTTATTAGTCTCGTCTACACTAAATTTAAAGACTATTTGTTTCTAAAGTTTTTGTATGAAACTTGTTTCGGTTAGCTTCTTAATAAGGACTCTAACTTCCCTTGGATTTTGGCATGCAAAGGTGGTTTTAGCATGTGTGTTGTGTGTATATCTTGCAATGATTCAAAAAGCGGACCGCTCAGCTACTAGGCGCTCTGAAAGGCCTGGACGCATCGCCCAGGCCTAGGCGCCCAATCTGGGCGGTCGATCCTTGGGCGACCACCTAAGCGGCATGGAACATGCCTAGGCGGGCGCCAAGGGGTGGAAATTGTTTCGGTAGGGGCAATTTTGGTCATTTTTTTTGTTTTTAAGGGCCAAAATTTAGGGTTTTAGATTCATTTGAACCCTAAAACTTGTTGGAGCCAATTTTAGAGAGAGAAAGCCCTCAAAAATCGAGTTTTTGGTGAATTTTTTAGGATCGAAGGGTTTCCCAAAGTTAACAAAAATTGATCCAACATCACCCATTGATATTAGATTTACTTTTTGATGTTTTGCAAAGTTATTAGGGGTTTTTTTAGAAGATTTTGAGTATTTAGAAGCATCTTTGAGGTGGAAGTTTAAAGATTGAGCAATCAAACTCAAAGTAAGTGATTTTTTTTATTGCTTTAGTAATTTGCATTATTTTTGAGATGTCTTCTTCGGGATCTAATCAGAGTGGTGATCCCGGTTGGAAATATGGTTATAACTCATAACCTAAAGATAAAAATTGTACAAGGTGCAAGTTTTATGAAGAGGATACAAAATGGCGTATAAACCGGTTCAAGAAACATATTGTCGGTATCAGGGGGATGTTGCCCCATGTAAAAAGACTTTTGATGCTGTTAAAGAGGAAATAAACAATTTTTTGAACATGGTGAAAATGAAAAAAGAAGAGAGATTTGCCTTTATAGCAGAGATTAGGTCTGGAGTCTGTGTCAATTTTGATGATGATGATAGTGACGGGAAATGGAGGGATGTCAAGAGGTTGAGCAATCCATTATTAAGGGAAAGGGGAAGGGAGTTGTAATTGCTTCTGGTTCTGGGACTAAGAAGCCTCGGGTCAGAGGCCCTATGGATAGTTTTTTACTTTGGCCGTGAGGTTGTAGGAGAGAAAACAAAAAAGCAAACCACTATTGAAAATAGAATCAAGAAGGAAGAGAGAGAGAGAGCTGCGTATTATCTTGCTACATGGTTTATGACGCGGGCATTCCTTTCAATATCGCTCGCTTAAGCAGCTTCTATGCTGCGATAGAGGCAGTTGGCCAATTTGGCCCTGGGATGAACCCCCAACCCCATATGAGCTTTCAGAGCCTTTTTGAAAAAAGACAGTGAATGTCACGAAGGAAGTTGTAGAACTTAAGAAGGATGCATAGGCTCAATATGGGGTTTCTATTATGACTGATGCTCGGAGTGATAGGAAGAGAAGAAGTTAGATGAATTTGCTTGTGAATTGTCCTGCAGGGATTGTCTTTTTGAGGTCTATTGATGCCTCTGATCATATCCATGATGCCCATTACATATTTCAAGTGATAGAGAAGGGAATCAAGGACGTTGGGGAGCATCTTGTTGTACAGGTTGTCACAGACAAGGCTGCTCTTAATGTTGTTGCATCTAATTTGTTGCACATAGCTTATCCTAGAATCTTTTGGATACCATATGCAACACATTGTATAGACCTCATGCTTGAGACTCCTGGCAGTTAACCGAGATACCAGGTGTAGTGACGAAGGCTAAGTTAGTTACAAATTTCATTTATAGCCACCATCTCACCCTCAGTATAATGCGTGCCTTTACAAAGAAGAAAGAGATTGTGAGGCCTGGGGTCACGAGGTTTGCAACTTGGTACTTATGCCTAGATAACATACATTCGAGGAGAGTGCAGTTGAGGCAGATGTTTATCTCAGATGAGTGGAGAGCATGCAAATGGTCTAAGGATCAGGTTGGGAAGAAGGTGTGAGATATTATACTTTCTAAGGCTTTTGGAGAGGGGTGAAGGGCACTCTTAAGGTATTTTTTTCTCTTGTCAAAGTCCTTCGCATGGTTGATAGTGACAAGCCTTCTATGAGCTACATATATGATACTATGGAGAAATGCAAAAGAGAGCCCAAATTTCAATGATGAAGAAACCTGCTACAAGCCTGTTTTTGAGATTATTGATGAGAAGTGGGATAGGTAGCTACATCGGCCATTGCATGCAGGTGGTTATTATTTGAACCCAGTTTTTTTTTATATTGACGAGGATATACAAACAAATGACAGAATTATGAATGGATTTA